GCAGCGCACCAAATCAGCATCCACGGGCAAAAAATATGTTAAAAACAAAACGAAATAAAAAGTCCAATTCATTTTTTGTTGACACGAAGAAAATGCCGTTATCGTTGGTCCTAAAGGAAAGGAGGTGAAGAACTGGTCTTTTTTGTGGAAAATTTTGTGTAGCTGAAACAATTTTTCTCCTCCTTGGATTGAACAGAAAAGTTGGATTGTCTCTGTTGCTTCTTGAGCCCCTCGATGAAGCCACGGTGTGACGGCCGGACGGGTTCCACAGAATCCGTGAGGGAAAACAGCGTTAGGTCAAGATTAAGCTTTGATGGGAGATGTGGGCCGGGCCTCCTAAGACCTACAGGCCATAAAGCAGTAACAACATGTCAGTGCCCGCCTAAGCAATCTTTCTGATGCCATGTACAAATCAATGGTCACTTTCAGTCTCTAGCTTGTAAAGCTGCCGTCTCTCTACTGACGCGAGACGTAGTAACTACAACAACGTCGCCGTCGCGCACCATACCAGGGCCGGTGTCATCAGCTTGCTCGTTTTTTCCAGGCCTAGAGCTAGAAGAAGCAATCAAGCATCAGAAAATGGTTCGGTTTGGAAATGGAAGAGCATCATAATACATCTGAGCAAATGGAAGGGTCCACAAGTCGATCGAGCTTAAACATCGCTGCCCTATTCGCAATAGGAGTCAGTAACAGCGCGGCTGTATTAGACCGTGTTGGAAAAGCTGATGCCTCGCTGTCTCACGCCCTAGGGGGGCCATTGTTGGAAAATTGGTGCTCTGTACGTGTCAACGCCGCAGATGCTCCAGTGCTGCATTTGCTGCTAATGTGCAAGAAGTCACAAATTCGAGCCACTAATCTCCCTACGTGCCACTGTTTCGGAACAGTAATAGTTGTTTTCATAATTTTTATATGGGTATGGCTAGGTCTCGGTCGACTGAGATGAGATTTAACCAAGTCTTAGTCAAGTGACATAGTGTATATATATATATATATATATATATATATATATATATATATATATATATATATATATATATATATATATATATAATTAGATATTTTTTTTGCATGGATTTTCACGCAAGATCGAACTAATGTAGCATCGACTGAGATATAACCAATTCTCAGTCGACTGAGACTTAACAATACTATTTTTATATATAAGATGAACTGTTGAGGAAAAGGTGGATCCGTACGCGCTGCTGCCCAGGACCCACTTACCAACCGATTGAGCACGCGACTCTTACGAACCGGTGGGGGATCAAAGGAAGCAGTAGTGCACGATGCCACTTCTCTTGATCACCACGTTCAGTTCGTACGGCCGAGCAAAGTGCATTTCTAGGGTTGAAATGGCTTTTCCCCATAGACACCAAACCATAGAAACGTGACCTCGTTTCTCAGCAGAGTTTGAAATTTAAAATGCCTCTTTGTATAGGCAGGGCAAATATTTACGAGTTGGACGGCGTCTGTTTTTTTTTAACATAGTACAAACGCAAGAGCTCATATACACGCGCATACACTTATCCCTATGAACGCACACACGCACACTCTATCTCTATGAGCACTTTCGAAAGACTGCATCGGCATATTATCTTGAAATTTACGAAGTCGCGACGAACGTCTCCTCCCAGTAAATGTGCATCGTCGAAAATCCTGAAATAAATACATGAATAAATACGAAAACCAGGATTTAAACCCTGATGGACTGGGGATACCACATTCTCTCTAACTATCCAACCACAAGTTGGTTCGCTGGCGGCGTCTGTTTAACGTATGATGATCACTGTTGGACGCAAGATTGAACCCGAAAAAGGCAGTGTTGCTGCGGTGTGTGGCCATGTCTGAAGGTGGCCTCGTGCCTCCCACTCTCTCACGTATGTATCCTTGGTTCAATTCATGTGACTGCTTACTGATCGATATGCCCGGTTGATTCCGATGTCGAGGTGTGCACCCATAGCGTGACCCATACTCACACCAGCTCTATAAGTAGCAACTCAACACGCTAGACAGAGAGAGAGAGAGAGAGAACACAGCAACACAAGCTTAGCACACTTCGGCAGAAGATGAGTAGATCAGGGAGCAGCGGGGGCGGCCGGAGCTCTCTGGGCTACCTCTTTGAGCCGGATGAGATCTTCCCGATCCACAGGTTCAAATCCAATCAAGAGACCGAGAAGCCCTCGGAAGAGGGCATCGTCATGCAGCCGCAGGACGACAAGGTCATGACCGGTGATGAAGCAGACCACCAAGAACTGCCGTACCAGGCTCCTCCCAAGAGAGAGGAGGACTGGAACCCGATTGTTTCTCGCAGACCTGCTTCCATCATCTACCACACTAACCAATCGGGCAACAACACCGGGCTTCTGATCACTGTAAGTTCTTTAAATTTCTGTACTTTGTAATCACTGTATAAGTACTGCTTTAGAAGTTCAGATCGTTGGTTTCTGTACATAAGATGCATCGTCCATGCAGATCACTTCAGTCAGATGCTCCATGACATACTCACATAGCCTGCATGCATGAGCCTGTAATAATCAACATGTGCGTCTTCGCTATTTCGCCTTGTAGGACCGACCGTCGACGAGGGTCCGGTGTGCACCGGGAGGGGCGTCGTCGCTTGGATTTCTCTTCTCTTCGGAGACGAACGTAACTGACGACAAATGATGGCACACACCCAGTCCACAAGAGTTCATGACTCGGTCGATCTATTTATGTTTTTCACCTGCGGTATGCGAAAGAAAAGTATTCTAATTTATGTAGCACGAGCTTGTCTTTGCATGACCTATATATCTACGTACCTGTACCGTGTTGCTTGGTCGGTGTGAACCATGGACGCTTAATATCTTTGTTGTAATTGCTGCTATGCAGAGCTTAAGTTATATGGGGTTTAAGTTATGATTGGGTGTTCAATTCAAATGGTTTTCTTACTCTTATGAGTTACTGTGTAATTCCAAGAGTGAATATAGACTGTTGTAATTTATTTTGTTTATCCACGGGATGTATTATGAGGTAATGGAGTCATGAGGCATTCCATTATCCATGTTAAACAGATTCACATCTAGCTTATACTAGTTCGTTTTCCATGAAATTCAGAAGAAAAAAGATAGTTGGTTAAGAACTTAAGATTGCACATTCACGAAGCCCTAGATGTGGAAACACTGTACTTCGACTTCATTGAGTAGTGAAATGAAGATCGTTGGATGATAAGGATGATTATATGTGTGAATCTCAAACCACAAACTCATTATGGATCTAAGGATCACAATACTTTTGTTATATATGATGATGATGATGTGTGTATACATTGTATGAGCTAGAAGAAGTGCTCTTGTGGCTGTGTGCATCGCTCGCAGCAAAGTCCGGCAAAGCATTTGTTGTTTTACTTCCAGAAAGCTAACGAGGTTTGGAGAAGACTAGGTTTGGACGAAATTATTTATAGAGTTTGTGAAGTTGATCGTCCTGGTGAGGCTGTCCTGGAATTCTTACTACACATGCCAGATCAAGATATCTTGGGTTTCAGAATATGCGTGTGATGATTGCCATCACGAATTGGTATTTGTGTGGGAAAGGCGTAAACTCGTGTATAGGGAGAAAATTCAAGATGGTAACCAGATTTTTATGGGGATACAAGCTCTTACGGCTAATTACATTGTCGCTTCCTCTCCAAACACTTCTATGAAAAGGTGGGTTGGAGTCGTCCCCCAACGGGCTTTGTGAAGCTTAATGTTGATGCTTCTTTTGATCATGACCTTCTTAAAGGTACAACGGGAGCGGTTCTGAGAGACAGTAAAGAAAAATTCACTTCAAGAGGTTGTTGGAGAATCGACTGGTGTGCGGACATTCTCATGGCGGAAGCTTTGACGTTTAGATTTGGTCTATCCTTGGCGCAATGTGTGGAATGCAATCGATTTGTCATTAATTCTGATAATTTGAATGTCATTGATACCATGAATAATGGAGGACGGTCCGCAAGGGTGCCGGCAGTAATTTTTGCTGATTGCTATTTTTTTGCTTGTGATTTTTCTATTTCTAGGTTCGAACACTGTAATAAAGCGATTGCTCATGAGCTTGTCAAATAGGTTAGATTTACTTCTACCATCGATTGGTTTGACATGCCTTTAAATGAAATTATCCCATTCCTCATAAACGGTGTATCTTTTGTTTCGATTGAATAAAGTTTGTATGTTCTAAAAAAAAACCTTCATGCTTCTCTAGCGAGGCTAATCTGCTACTTTAGGTCAGGCCAAGCGTATCGAGGGCAACAACCTAACAATTCACAGGCAACTTACAGGGATGCTGGCCGGGCGTTATGAGGACACAAATCAAGCTACTCATAATTTATCCCCCTAAAAAAGTACTCATAATTTTGTCCACATTAAAATTA